TGAGATCAATTTCATTTTCCAACTTTCCTTTATAGCATGCACATTATAATGAATCAACTAATACTTTTCACTAGAATAGTATTTAAATTCTCGATGCTATTCAGTATTGTCAAATTTTAAATGTTCTATATATGTACTTTTAACTTTTACAATACGATATTTGTGCATAGATTCTGATACCGTTTCCAATAGCCAAAATCATATGCATCATATCATACATTTTTATTTGTTATTATTAATTAGTTTCTAAAATTAAAGATAGCTAGGAAAAATATGAAAAAATCTAAAGTAACAGATAACATTTGTAATATCATATACGGTTATGCAGAAATAGGATATCGTCCAAGAATTGGGTCATCTCTGAATGGAATTTTGATCCGAATACATACATGCAAATACTCGGATGATTCATTCAAATATTTGGTGATGCTATTCAAGATATTAAATAATTATTATTATATCATTGTATTTCATGATATTAATATTTCTTATTTTTAAAATAGAGTTTGAAATAGATTATAATAAGTATTTCAAGTATTTAGATATTTGTGTTTTTCTAATTCCAAAGCTGAATATATATGTATATCATAATATACTTATATACTATAAAAAGTTTTAAATATATAAGTAGCATTCAATAATAATAAAGAATAATTTGTTTCTTCTGTTCGTGATGATAGAATAATTTTTCTATGTAAAATATTATTTTTCAAAAATATTTTTTTTAATTTTTAATTTTGATGTGAAATGAAATCTTTATCTTTTATATGAGAAGATTTTTATTATTTATCTTTTATTTTCTATTATTATTTGAAATAATCAAATATTTTATAAAATGAATTATTTGAAAATAATTTATATCTCTTATATAAGATTTTAAAATTCATATCTTTTATTTCAAATAAATTTATTTTTATTATTTAATTATTTTGTTTTTTATTTTTTGTTACTTTTTCAAGTAAATATTATTAAATATTGAATAAAACATAATTCTTTCTATTGTTTTCTTTTAATCTCTGTAGAATTTTTATTGCAATCTTCTTATACATATACATATTTTTATATCTACATATTTTTGTGCGATTTTGTATGCATTATTTTATTACTTCACACATTACATTACATTGATTTTTATATATATCATAATATATATTTTTTTCATATCATACAACTTTTGTATTAACTATGTTTTTATGTGTGTAATTGTTGCATAATTAATAATTGAAAGTGATTATTAGTTAGAAAACTTTCTCTCTGTATTCAAATTCATGTTATGTTTCTCTCTTACATTAAAGAAATTTTTAAAAATTTGTAAACTAATTTATTTACGAACTATTAATAATATATTTTTCTAATATATATTCCAATATATTTTTCGACATAATAAATTATTTATTATGTTTTTTTAATAATATTACTCATTATTATCATTGTTTGGTGCATAAAAAGTTAAAATTGTCTATTAACATTATATTCACAATACTTCATTACAAAACTTCATTAAGAAGTATCAATGTAATATTATAGCCATTTCATTTGTTTGTAATAAAGCAAAAATAATACATCGTATGTATAATGTTACAGTTATATGATATTATATCTAAATTAATAAAACATAATTAAATAATTAATAAAACTATTTTTAATAAAATAATATATATATAAATATATATAATATAATAGATACTCATATTTTGCAAGTCGTAAAATGGAGATGAGAACGAAAAAAAATAAATGGAGAAAAATTGAAAGGCTTTGGGGGAGGGGGAGAGGCGGAATGCAACGGCAATCGTAAAATAACATTTAAATGAGTTTACTCGCTCTTCTCTGGTACAGAATCAGGATAATACGAGTGCACTCGCGGGGTTATACGACTTTTTCGCTAAATTTAGTTCCTGGTAGAAAGAGTGGAGAAAACAACGATGAGAAAAGCTCTGTCATATAAAAGCCGAACCACCACTTTTTTCGGCATTTTTTCGTGTTCGATATATACGAATTCTCCGTCAAATAAAAATTTTGATAAAGAACATGTTGTAGTTATTTAAATATAGAAAGATTTTAAACCATGGTAAATAATCTTGAAGCATTAATATAATACAAACCAAAAGGAATTATTATTTTCTTGCTAAAATCTTGTGATATTAATTTTGCTATTTTTATTATTATTCTTTAAATGATAATGAGTATATAGTATAAATAAAAAAAAAAATTAAACTTAATCTCACAAATATTTAAAATTTATTGTTAACAATTATGTTAATTTGTATAGAATAACTTATTAGATAAAACGAATTAAATTCATATTTTAAAAAGTTCAATAATTTTGTATATGAATTCATATTATTGAATATTATTTAATAAATCTTTTTCTTATACCAATTTTTTTTATTAAAATTAATCAGTTTTTGATTTGATTAATATTTGAAATCAATATTTTCAATGTGAAATATAATTTTACATTTTCCTTAAAATATTTTTATAAAAAAAAAATAATTTTTTATTCTAAATACACGAATCATTAATATCAATATTAATATTATAAATAATTTTTTACGATATTGATATCGATATATCTTATATATGTATTTATTTTGTTTGCTGGATATATGCATACTATTTCTAGATAAAACATTCATTTTTTTTATCAAAGTGCTTTTACTGGAATCGAAAGTTTTATTTACACGTAATTTAAAACGCTGAAAAATAAATAGTAGATTTTACGGAGTATATTAATTCTAATTTGAAGAGAATATCGTGATTGGACTGCTGTCATAATTTGCTCTCATCGTTTTATTCTGAAAAATTCGTGAAGTTTTAAATCAATAAAGTTGCATGGATAAAATAACAGAATTCTACATGACCTCAATTATCTGTTTCTATTGCTGGTGATTTCCTCATTTATTTTTCTTTTCTCTTGTTTATTTATTTTTACTTTTTCCTTCTTTATTTTGTAAAATTTCATCGTATTTTCTCCATACAACAAAATTAGATAGTTGCATAATAAATATCATTTTCAATTTTTAAAACTCTATTATGTTTGGACCGATATATTTTTAAAATTGTGTTAAGCTAAACATATTAAAGATAGACATGCAATAATATTGTTATCGAATAAAACGAAGCATTTTTTTTTAGTAATAATTAATAATTCTGAAACTAAAATATATGCAGTGTGTATAGAATACAATATTCATATGATATTTTTTACTTATTTCAATAATTTCACTTTATTAAATTTGTGTAAATTTATTCTCTCAAATATTAACATACAATTCCAGAAACATTTTGTATTAAGATGGCATACTTCTCACGACTATTGTTGCAAACAGAAATGAAGTGAATGCTTGCAAAAAAGTAATTCTTTTATGAGCTTCTTCTATATGCTATGAGCTATGACGAATAAATACTGTGTTATTAATTATTCTTTAAATTTTTAAACAGTTATAATCAAACATATACGTACACTTGTGAAGGAATAATTTTATTTGCGTCGATTTCTGTCAAATTTTTACACATTGAAAAAATTAAGAAATGGAATGAATTGTAGACGATTATAATGCGCGCGCGAATGCGTATATGTTAGTGCAACCTGCTATGAATATGCATACATTTATGCTCATAGCGCAGGCAAATTTGCGCTTATGGTTTTAACCAATTGGCTGTTTAACAGTACCGGCCGTTGTTGCTACCTAGTTACAATGAAATTGAATCGAGCAAGAAAAACGAAATCTCGATGACTGCGGATATGATGGATGCGACATCGTATCGCGACAACTATGCTGACTTTAATTGAAAACATTGTTTCTTTTTCCCATCACTCGAATAATACTTCGTGTGGACAATGACTTATCATCTTTTTGATTATTGTTTTAACTATATGTAATTACGTGACTCATTGATTTGTTGTATATTTTGTGTTGCATATTTATCAATTCTTTGAATAAATTTGAGTCATGCATTTTTTGAGTCATAGTGTATAATAACAAATCGAAGTGAATTGAGACAATATTTAATAAATTTAAGTGCATCATTAAAGCCCAAGAAATATAGTAGAAGATGTATACTGCAAGCATAAAATTAGCAGGAACATTTGTCTGCTTTGAAAAATACTATATTCTTCAAAATTATTTGTATAAATAACTTATTGCTATCTTTTGAATTTACTTATTTTTTTTTGCAGTATATAATAAATTTTAATGATTTAAAATTACGTTAATATTTACTTTATAAAAATAAATTAAATTTAATGAAAATCATATGGAAAATTTCCTCACATTAAATTCATACTTGAGAAGTTAATGATATTTATACTCTTTAAAAATTTTTTAAAAAATTTAAAAGACAGTTTAAAGAAGATATTGATTATAATGATACGAGTTCTACATATGAAATGTGGGATTTTTTAAATATTTCAAAAGATTTCAGAATATTTTTAAAAATTTTTTGAATTTTGAGATTTCTATAATATCTCAATGTAGAAAATAATATTTTCTTTTTTAATTATTATAAAGATTAGATGAGATATGCTTAATATTTTAAGTTTAAAATAAATTTATTATTTTTTTTAATTTAACATTTTCCTTAAATATTTCATATGTTTAAATATTAATAAATGATTTCAAACGAAGTAGCAACGAAGAAGTAAATTATGGAACAAACTTTTATTACGAATTATTAATTTGCATAAAGAATATTGTTAACAAGCACGCGAGTAGTTATGATATATTCGTTTTTTAAGATTAACTTTGTAACATTTGAACTCTTTTCAAAGTAGAGAAGAAATAACTCGACTGAAAGTATCGATCTCGATAAGCTTGCACGAAGTAGAATTGCATGAAAAATAGTACTGTTATTTAGCCAGCAAAGCAGCGAAGCTTATATTTTATTATAAATAATAAGAAGCCAATAATGGTATTTCTTTACATTTATTTATAGAAAAAAAATAAAAAGTCGCAATTAAATTGCTATTTCTTGCGTTGATTTGAAAATGATATACAATAGCATACAATAGTATTTGAAAAAATAGAGATTGACTCTCTAAAGATATCTTACGAATATATCAACATTACGTAGAATTGTGTTACTTTTATATATTACAAACGAATAATATAATTTTATGTCATTGGCCTCCACATGCCGAATGTAATCTCACGTGTAATCTTATACAAACTGACTTCGAATCTCGTCACGCCACACTCGATCAACAAATTAAAAAAACTCTTAATCGCAGGTTCAATCACAAACCAATCAACATGTTAAAATTCTCTTCTGTATGTATGCGTAATTCATCCCCGTATTCCTCGATCTTGTTTCTTATTCCACTTTTCCTCCAAATAATCCCTCAGTTGATTCAATTGTTCAATCCTATCGTTCCGTGCCCCGAGGAAAATGTTCAGCTTTTTCAGATCCCCAGGCGGTTCGCCGCAAACAGATGAATTTGGACAAATGGTCCATACCGGGCCATCGTTCCACAATAGATCGAATCCACCGATCCTTGTTTCCCTGCCGCAGAAACGTCCCTCGAAGTCGAGAATGTTCAACGTGTCGTCGAGGAGATCGAACTTGAGCCGATAATCTTCGCTGTCAGTGCCGGTCAGAGCCGGCGAGGCGTTCACTTCGAGCAGCCAAGGCTTCAGATCCTCGTCGAGCAGTATATCGTAGCCGTACAACTCGAACGAGTTTCTGCCCTGCATGATCACTGACTGCACGGAGAGCAAGCTGGCCATTATTACGCCTGTGGGATCGATAAATGGTTTTATAAGGAAAGATTAATAAATCGAAGAGAGGAGTGATGTTTCATCTCATCATGGGTGAGATATTGAGATTGGTTGAGATTGTATGATAGGATTTTTTTTTCCTTTTTTTTTTTTTTTTTGATATCGTTTGAAAAAATTGAGGATTACTCGTGGATTGGATATGCTGTTTATATGCACCTTATGCTTAGACTTTCGTTTTTTGAAATCAAGATAAAGATATTCGTTTCATTATTTTTATAGGTTTATGTTTAAATATCGATGGATAAAAGATTAGATACGTGATTTTAAGGAGATTTTTTTTTTTTAGAGCTTTATACTGTTTTTGTTGTTAATTAAAAAGTTTTTATCTACTTTTTTTTTTATTTTTCAAAATGTGTTAAAGTATATAAATTATTACAATTTATTATAATTTTGTAAATTATCTGTCCTAATAAATTTATCTGTCCTAATAAAAATAGTGAAAATGAAATAATAAAACTTCAAATGTCTTGAAATGATGGTTAGAATTTTAATTAAAAAAGATATAATATTTTTAAATATTTTTTTATATTATAGAATTTATATATATTTTTTATTTTGAATTAAAAAAATTGTTTAAAGTAAAAGTTAATTCAGAAGATTAAGTTTAAAGATAATTAAATTATTAGGCTTGAGTATTAGTTATCTATGTCGAGTTGATCTTTCTAATTATTAAATTAATGAGAAATTAAAAGTAAATTATGAATTTTATTTAAATATTTCTATAATCTTCATATCCTTAACCTTATTTTCTTTTAAAAAAATCTGTGAAAAATCTTAAAAAAAGTATCAGAAAAATATTCTAGTAATAAAATATTTTAAATATTGTATTATTTAAGGTTATTATTTAAGGCTTCCAAATATTTAATAATAATAATAGATCATATCGAGTAAAAATATCTTCCTAATCTTTTAGTAACAATGCAATTAATTCATTCAATAGTCAAAAGATACAAAGTTTCATAAATTATAAATATGAAAATTAATATTCGCTGATATTGAATAAGATGATCGAATAACATGAATGATTATAATTTTATTATTCTAAAAAGGTTTTGCTTTATTTGCAATATTTACTTAATATGAAAAAAATAAATCATAAAATCATGACATAAATAAAAGGAGAGATCCAATTTTAGTTTTTTTCTTCCAATAATTGCCCAAAGTTTTGGATACTAACCAGCGATTCGTTGGAATAAAATTTCCACCTCCTTTGGCCCGTGTCTCGCAGTCAGATACTCCCTGACCTTGATCAGTGCCCACTTATACCCTTTCTTTGAATGGTTCTTCTTCTCGTCACCATGGATCTTGAGCTGTATAGCCATGTTGGTCAGATGCACTCTGCTATCGTCGATATTGTCCAGGTCGAACAATTCGCTCGATAATCGTGCGAAACCCTCTCTGGCCAGCCATGCTTTCAACGGATGAAACGAGGTCACCAGAGTGTAAATACGTAGATCGAATTTCCTCCCTGAAACATAGAAGCGTTTACAAACGCTCGGTCCTATTCGACATTGGAAAAACGACTTGTGCTCTCTATGGCTCGTAAGGCCATCGAAGAAAGTGCTTTTGAACGGTTCTACATTCAAGCATTCTCCTTTCGGCGACGCCATTTGGCACAAAGGATTTCAGCTTCCGGCTATCCATCCCTTTCGAAGGTACCATCCTCGACAACACAGCCATTCTTCGATGGCGATAAGCGAAATGAAAGGCGAGGGAGAGTTGATGTGTGAGCCACGAACCTGCCAGGAGGTAAGGATTCTCCACGTATTTTTGCACGATGAAAGTCTCAATTGAGGACAATTCGATCTGCGGACCGCCGAATTCTCTGCTACGCCACTCGGATAAATCCTTTAGCTTCCTGAACAGGAAGATACCTGTTAACGTGGGGACGTATGTATATTATGTTTTTTTTTTTTGTTTGTTTTCGTGGGATTGTTTTAGCTAGATCGTTCAAAGATGTCGTTCATCGTGTCATTGAATTCATTAGAATACGTATATACTTGGTCGTGAAGATAGACGAAGTGCATTGAATTAAATTGCATTTATTCGCATGAAAGCAACTTTCTTGTAAACTATGCAGTTTCATTTATATACGAACAATAATCATGAGTTTCGATATATTTAAAAGCTTGTTAAATGACTTAACTGATATTCTTGAAATTGAAGAATTTATTTTCATATTTTCTAACGTCTTCGAGAAATTTATGTCTTAATAAAACATTCAATATTTTTTTCTTTTTTTTAAATAACTTCATAATTATAACAGTTTCTTTGATATTCATTCTGTTTGAGAATTCTTACGGTATTGACAACTTTCAAGTTTTTGATTTGTATTTTGTTAGTATGATTTTTTATTATCGAACGACTTGGTTGCCTTGGTTAAAAATGTTAATCTACAAAGTGTTTTGTGAACCGTGGACATCCAATTAAAGAAGTAATTCAACATACAATAATAAGCCGAAAAAAAATAAATTTTTTGTTTCAAGTTTCTTTTTCGAATATATGTAAAATTAGCTGATTTGATATGATTTTGAAAAGGATTATTCTAGATGTGAAAATAAGTAAAAAATGTAGAATAAAATTTTATTGTATAATTTAATTGTATAATAAATTTGATTTTCATAAATATATAGAATTATCTTTTGTATCCAATTAGGAATTAGCCAATTTTAAACTTGATTTACTGAGAATGAAACTTCAAATAAAAAACTTTATCTTTATTTTTTATTGATTAATTGTTGCATGCAAAATCAATCTTTAATTGATATTAAACAGACTGAATATTCTACTTCATTATATTGACGCCAAATCGATATTAAACTAATTTATTTAAATTATCGTTTTAACACATATTATTTAAATGCAATATTGTTCAAACTGCATTTACAAAATATTAATATATTCGTAGGATACTTTTGGAAGATTGATTCCAGGAGTCAAAATAAATGTTAATTATAAAAATTATAAACATATAAAAATATCGATCTTGAGACTTATTTATTAAGTTATAAGCTTATAAAGTTTATATTAGATGAATCAAAACAGAGATCATTTTATATTTTTAAAATTATATTCGTATAAATTACATTTTAATTGGGTAAAAAATTTAAATGACTGGAATTAATTTGATTTATAATTATCTTATATAAATAAAAAAATGTATAAATTATTTTATAATAAAAATTGCATCAAATTTAAAAAAGGTGAATATATATAAGCAATATTACTATTTTAGTTTCAATATTGTGTTCGATTCAAGATAATTTTTTTATTTGTATTTCTTGCCACATTTTTTTTAGTAATATATATTTAGCAATTGCTATAAGTCATAGCAAATTTTTTTTAAATGCGAAACTAATCTCTTTTGTTTTATTTCATATTCCATAACTATTAGTTTTTTAATTTAACAATATAATATCATATCATATTAATATATTTATAGAACAAAAAATATAATAGATATTATTTAATGTTCTGGTACTGTTATATATGCTTGTAGAAATATAATACGTATTTAATATTTGTTATTATGACGAAGAAATTTTTTATAACATATTTATATTTATATTCATCATCGTATTAAATAAAAATTAATCTGTTTCTGCAATAGAGAGATTATTTTTATTCTTATATTTTATAAATTATATTTTCTAAAACTTATAAAATGTGAGAATATTTTTTTAAAAATCTTTTCTATTTTTCACAAAAATATAAAAGATACCTCTGCCCTGTGATCTTCCTGCAGGTTTCACAATCCACGTAGAACCAGGCTGCTTATGATATTCTTCCGTGAACAGTCTATAATCGTTCGGCAGTTCAAAAGTCAATGGCATGCTATCGCACATTTGAGCCTCGTCGATCTTCTTCGATTTCACTAACAGCTTCTTGTATCTCTTCATGTTTCTGTAGAGATAATTCTTCCGCGTCAATTCATAATGATTGCGGAAATGAGGTATCTTTTGATGGGCGGCCAACTTCATGTCCAAAGCCTGGCGAACATCGTTGATCTCACACCACCAGAGATGCCAGTTCTGGTCGAGCGGGTCTGTTACCTTGAAAAGAGGTTTTGAGGATTCGCGTGGGAGGACTCGCGCCGACGTATTAGTGTCAGGAAATGTAATTTATTCATGGATATGATTAGGACAATTATGGTGAATAATAAATTATTTCCTGCTTCTGGAAGTGATGGTAACGTGACGAGGAACTTTTCGAATATTTTATACCGATCTGTGTAATTTGAATGAATCAAAAACTTTCTCTTAGAGTTACACTGTAATTAACCGAGTATATTCATATTCAAGTGACTCGCGATTCACTATTTTTTATTATAATTAATTAATTTATTTTTTTTTTTGATTTTCATTTATAATTGTTGATGCTAAATTGGTAATTTATTTATTATTTGGCAAGTTATTGTAGATTTATATTTGTATAATTATATCTAATTTATTGAAATTAAATTTAAATTTAAGTGAAATTTTTCTATAAAATAATTGTTACATTATAAAAGGTACATTTGATGAATATGCGTAATAAACAAATATTTTTATAAATATTTTTCGCTGCTATCTATTCTATTTTTTAAACAAAAATTAATTGTCTTTCTTACTTCTGTAAAATTTCATAAAGTAAATCGTAAAATTCATTTTATCACAAAATTATTCATTTTTGTGAATTTCCAATTTACAATAATAATAAAAAAAAAATGAGATGATTCTTCTCTTTTAACTTTTCTTAGTGTGTGCATTATAATCAATTTTATACAAGTTTTTTTATTATAAGATTTTTTAATTACTATTTTAATCATTATGTATTAATTATTGAACCACTATTATTAAAATTATACTTCTTAATTTATAACTAAAAACTTAAATTTCAAAAATTAATATTTCAATTATTAGAAAACCAAAGAAAACCTGTCAAAGAAACCACGAGCTAATTACGTTGCAAAACTCCCAAACACAGTATCAAAGGATTAAATTCGTTTTCGTATACAGCAGGCATCACACTAGACAGTCTAAATTCAAGGGTAACATGCGGTCATCCCGTAGAACAATGTGGATTTTCGCATAATCACGAGTTTCCTTCGCGTCCTTTTTTTAAAGCGGTTTCGTTTAAGCGATGAAAGACCCTCAAGGGGATATACGCGGCCATGATCCGTTCCCACCCCCCTCTCGTTAAGGCCGAAGCGTGAACAGGGGACATTCCATTACCTGGGTCCATCCTCTGGCCAACATCACCCTAACCTGCGTCGAGGGGAAGTCGCACCGGAACTTGATGACCTTGTCGTCCCCGTTCAACCTCTTCTTCGTGGTGGTCGTGGCCGTTGTGGCCGAATGCCTCGCGGAGACGGGCTCTCTTCGGCCTCTTTCTTGCGGAAACGAGTTCTCTTCGGTCTCGTGGATCAGTTCTGTGTTCTTGGACATTTCTCAGTGAATGGAATTATCTCGGTGAAGCGAAAGTTTTGTGTTCAATCAATGGAAATTAATAGTTAGAATCAATTTGATTATTGGTTAAGATGAATAAACTGATATTGTTGCGTAATTTTATCTAATCAAGTTCAGAGTTTAGATTTTTGGGTATAATGGAGATTGTTTGATAGTGTTTTGCGTGGATTTTCTATTGAGTTATAATATCGAGAACTTTTGTTAATATTGTATAATAATATTAAGTTCAAGTTCAAGTAATGAAATTCTTGTTTGTAAATTTATATTTTATTATTTTTGGAAGTTAAAATAGAAGTGCAAATTTAATTTCAAAAAGGTCAATAACAAAAGTTAACTTGAAACTAAAATTAATACAATATATAGTGATATGTAATTTAACTATAATCTTGAATGAGTTTTTAATAATTTGATATTGACTTAAAGATTATTAATATATAATAATAATTGATATAAAAAATATTTAACAATCAACTATAATTAAAGTGAAATTTGATAATAATAATTTAGAATACTCAAAATTAAACAAAATATACATTCAGGATTGAATATTTAATAATGGAATATTATCTATTTTATAATTTTATTACTAATTATAATTACTCTATTATAATAGTTAGGAAATTATTTTATTTTCTATTAACTATATTATCTATTATAAATGTTTCTTTTATAAATAGATAATTTAGTTTAATTAATATTGTAATTTGATTCGAAAAATAATACTTGATTTATTAATTGTATTTATTCCAAATTAATTATATCAAATTTTTTTAATCAATATAAATTATTTAAATAAAAGAATTAACATCAAAATAAAAATGTATTATAGTTGTCATATATCGATGTGTATCTCATGTATCTAAAATATATTTTAATTAACATTATTATTTATAATAAAAAATTTAAATACGTATGATTTGATTTCCTTTATTATTGATGTAATTAACAATTGTTAATTTTATTTTAAATTGTTATATATGAAATTATATAATTATTATTTCATGTGAAATGACCAATTTATATTTGAAATTTGATGATAATAATATGATG